TTCATCACAATTTTAATTTTTTATCTTGAATGAAAAATTATTTCATACTCAGATTTATTACTCAGTTGAAGAAAAATGTTTTCTCTATCATTTCTATATGAGCAGCATGTTGCGAAGTATTTCTTTTCTGCAATGCTCAAAGCGTTTAACGAGAACGATCGATGATTTCAACGTGTTTTTCAAGAAGATTGGCCGCTGGAATGCCATAATAATATCCGAATCTCTTCTTTTGAGTTCTGTTAGAGAGAGTACACATGAAAACAGGGGATAATTGCACTAGAATAGGGTCTTGTATCTCTTTTGCTTGAAGAAGTGAAATCATTAGATTTATAAAAATGCGCTTTTGAAAGTGAGACATTTTGGAGCATTGTAGAGTTGTTCAGATATAATTCCATAGCTATTCGCTGGAAGATCTCTTTTCATAAGCTTTTGTAAAGAATTGCACGAGCTATCTTTTGAGAAAAGATTCAAGTATATATGTAACAATTTGAGAGAGATATTGTCAAAATACTGAGAGGTTCATTTATTCTGCCGTAATCGTTAAATGTAGTGTCAAATCTAATAAATCAATAAATTGATCAAAATGAATATGAAAATCTTTAATAATTAGGTAAGTTGACGTAAGGGAACAATACTAATTTAGTGTTTGTACCAATAAATCATCAAGTTTTTCAAGACAATATTTCATTATCAATTCCGTAGCATTTGGAAAATAATGAGCTGGATTCTTATTTGATTTTGTACTACAAATATATACATGTTTAACTGAATTTAAATTTGTTTCTTGAGCTAATTGACAAATTTGTTTATGTAATTGCCAATAAAATGTAAAATCTTTTCGTCTAGAAAAAAAAATCAAGTTAATGCTAGTTCATTTCTACAGATTACCAGAAGTTTGTCAATAAGTTTTTCACTAATCAGACTCTCGCCAACTAGAAATGTGACATCTCTATATCACCTAATGGAGTTGGCTATATTGTTTAGCTCTTTTTAAATTAGTTGATATTACTAAAAATCTCAATTTTTTATCTTACACATTAGATTTATGACACCTCTATTTTAGGCTACATAAACAAAAATGCAACTACATAGCAGAATAAATAAATTTTTTCATTCAGTTTTCCTAAAAATCTTGGTTTGAATTCAAATATTCTATTACAATGCTTAAATATATTTAAGATTATGTGCAAAATATCAGATGTCCAAGTCTTGTTCTTTACTATATTTTGCCATTTCATTTATGCTAATTGCAATGACTTCCCATATAATACGAATATAATCGTATGAAAAATGGCATATTTTATAAACATAGAAGAAATGATAGAATACAGCAAAGGGGAAGACTTGGAAGCCTAAAATGTTGCATATAATCCTAAATCTGTTTAAGCATTATAACAAAATACTTGAACTCAAACTGTGGCTTTTAGAAGAACTGGGCGAAAAACCTTTTCCAGCTTCACCCCCTCCCCCTCCCCTCCACTCCCCGCTCATCCCCCATTGTATATATTTCTTTTATATAATATTCTAAAAATGTTGAAAGTGCTTTTATGCATTTTAACTTAATCGAAACTTTTCTCTAAGCAACATTGAAAAATGTTATTTTTCTATGAAATGCAATGTAATATATAAGAATATTCATTTGAAAGAATAAATATTATAATTTAATAGTTATTAGTAAACGATTAAATGAATTTAACCTGGCTAAAATTGAGTGTTATATTGACAGTTTCAATGCATATTTTAATTACTTTATTAAATAACCATGTTCTCATTTGGTTTTCATTAATTTAAATAAGAGAACAAAATATTGAAAATTCTTTATCTGATTCTTTGATAAAACTTGATTCTTCATTATCTTCATTAATAATAACATTTTTCAAATGAAATATAGCTGATAAAAGATGAAATATTGATATTTGAATTTTATTTTCAATATCTATTAATAAATTAATTTATTCATATAAAAAAAAAAATCAATGAAAATTAAAAAGAAATATACCAAGAGCAAGTGCTTCACGTATTGCTAAAAATTGTTGAACATCATCAATACCCTTAATAGTTATTGCATTTCCTTCTGACGTATATCGAAATTTATCAGCTAATACTATACTTCACAAAAAGAAAAATTTAAAAGAAACAAAAATAATTTCAGACATATATATATTTACATAATGCTAGAAATTTTCACTTCTGATTGATTAGCTTGTGTATATAAGTTGATAAAAATATATGAT